GCGAGGAACGTAAATAAAACAAGTAAGTAGATAGTAATTTGAGCTTAGTTTTAATCACAACCAGAATTGTATAATGTATACCACACACACACACACACTCACACTCATACCTTGGCTTAAGTATCTACTTAGTATAGTTAGATATAATTTGAATCGTAATCGTAAATCGTACCATTACTAAAGAGGTTCTGACATTTTTGTATGAAGCCTGGCATAGTGATTTCACGTTCGAAATTATGAACTAGACCCGATTTCACCCATGAGGAGCCTCAGTACGGGGAAAAAAATTGTGACAGCCAATGATGAAACATGTGTCAAGTAAATTATCGTAAGTGGTATACTTTAGAAGATATGAGGGTTTGAATCGTCAATATATTTTTTACATTTTTTATAATTTTATTTTCCCATAGTGGGGCTCCTCATAGGTGAATTTAGTATGCCAACCATGCACTAAGCCCTATTGACGTAAATTAACTTTTAATTAGGAATCATTTCTATTAAGGAAATAAGTGGTGAAGAGTTCTCTAGAGTTAATTGCTGTTATTGTAGCACGATTATTAACTCTATTACGAGGAAGTCTTCCAAAATTGTTATTTAATTGATTATTTGTTACAGATAATTCTGGTTCTCTCTTATCTCTGTGTATTATAATATTATGCAACAGACAGACTGCCTTTACAATTTTAATTGAATTGTTCACAGATGTTTCGATGCTTTTTAAAAGAATTCTAAATTTACTAGCAGCCATTCCAAAGGTGCATTCTATACCGACCCTTGTAGTAGACAATTTGAAATTAAATCTTGATTTATCTGCATTTCCTGTTGCTTGTGTTCTTGGATAAGGTCTCATTATGAACGTTTTCAAAGGAAAAGCCTCGTCCCCTAAAATACATATGGTGCCACAATATCACTATTCGGTAATCGTTCCTCGGGTGGTAGTTGAATATTTCCACTGTTAAGTTCTTGAAAAAATTTTGAATTGCTGAGAACGCCTCCATCACTATCTTTCCCGTATGCACCTACGTCAATGATGCGAAATGTGTTGTCTGAATCGGAGACCGCTAATAAAACAATTGAGTAATAATTTTTGTAGTTGAAATACATGCTTCCAGAGAGTTGTGGCTTTACGACACGAATGTGTTTTCCGTCCAGATTCCCACAGCAATGTGGAAATTTATTTTTATTTGAAAATGAATTTGCTATTTCCTTAAAATCTTCGAAACTTGGAAACTTCATATGTATTTCGTTAAAATTATTCCAAATTGCACTGCAAACCTTCATCACGATACTTGCTATTGCGGTTTTTGAAATGCGAAATGGCACTCCTAATTTCCGAAAAGGGGTTCCTGTTGTTAAGTACCTGTAAATGATAACACGTTGAATTAAATTTATTGTTATTTATTACAGAAAAGGACGTTAAAACTAGGTGGCGACACTTAAGGGATGTCTTTCTAAAAGAGTTGAAAAAAGTTCGTAAGCCTCGCTCTGGAGATCCAGGAAGCCCAAATGAACAATATTACTCGGGAAAGTGGACCTATTACCAACATATGTTGTTTTTAAAGGATGTTTCAATGCCTCGACCAACCGAAGGTAAGTGTTCATCAAGAAACTGGAAATAATGATAATGATGCCAGCCTACCATCCACTTCAAGATCAGAGCAGAATCTTCAGTTGCCTGATGAAGAGAATTCTACTGCAATGTCTAATAGATCCGAGGCTTTTGTGTCTTCTGATGACGAACCACTGTCTACCAGTGCGCGCAGTACAATTACACAGAGCACGAGTGCTTTGTCAACTGAAGCTTTGGATAGTGGATTACAAACTGGATCCCAAAAAAGAAAACGTAAAGAAAATCAATCTTTAACCGAATATCAGCGTCGAATGATCCAAATCGAAGAAGATAAAATTAAAGCGTTTAAGGAGAAAGAAAAAGAAGTTGAAGACGAAGATTTACTATTTTTGAAATCGCTAGCTCCATATTTTAAATATATGAATCCAGTGCAAAAATTAATATTAAAAAGTAAACTACAGAATACAATAGCAGACGAAATTTCTCTAGCTATGCCATCACCCCCTTCAAACTCTTCATCTACTATGTTAATGTCAATCATACCTTCACCTGTGGACGCATCCTCACATCCATCCATGGCACCACCGACAAACACACAACAATTCTACGAATCATTTAATGCTGAATATGATTCTTGAATATAAGATTTTTTACACCTCAATTTCTTTTTCTAATAAAAAAATGTGTGATTATTGCTTTTTTTATACCGTCTTCTTCTTATCGTATGGTTGATGAACAACCTGGTGTCAGAGTTTAAACCGCCCGTAGGCCTCTGACATGGCTTCACATACCGTTGAAAAATCTCTCAGGTGTGCTGGTTTCTTCACGATGTTTTCCTTCACCGTTTTTAGCAAGTGATAATTAATTTATAATACGCACATGAATTCTAAAAGACATTGGTGCGTGCCGGGGTTCGAACCTGCAACCTGCAACCTGCATTCTTTCATTTGAATGGTCTTTCAACAGGGACTTACAAATTGGAGGAAAATGGATACGCACACATAATAATAATAAAAAACTTACCTGATTGTTAATACCAATCTTTCTTCCACACTAATGGGTTTTTTAAAGTTGGTCACTCTATGATTACAATCGCTACGTATTCCATTACAGATGTAGTCAAATGTTTCTTTTGACATAGACAAATAATCGTAAAAGTCTTCTTCGTTATTTCGTACATCAAAATAAAGGTTGAAAAATTCACCGCGCAGATTCCTGGATCTATAAAGTATTTTATGTTGTCTACGTTTCCTTTTTTCAATGTCATTTGCAATTTTTAAAGCAATATTGCCCGACAGCAAAAACTGTGCATCTCTATAAAGAGCCATCGTTAAAGTGGCGTAAGCGCGACGCCAGCCATCGAGCGACGGCATCGCACGATAGACATCGCGCGATCTATTAGGACACCTGTTAGGTCATCGTACGACCACTTTGATCGTGAGATGAAAAACGCATCGCGCCATCGTACGATCGCTCCCAATTAGGACGACGCCTTATATAGCTTGTTGCAAAACAATGCCTACTCACTCTACCCTTCCCTCTCACACACACGCGCTACCGCCGGCTGGCCGACTCGTGCCGCCTTGCGCTGTAAAATTTACACATGTCAGCTTTGCCAACATATGGAGAATTCCCAAATTTCGGGGAATTTAAAGTTGGTTGGAGATTTTATGGGGATTGGTATTATGTGGGGAAAATATGGGGATTTTGAAAATCGATAGGCAAAGACAAGTCAGAACCTTTTCTCATGAAATCTAAATACTTATCTTAACATTTTGTTAGGTTACTTATGAATATCGAATGACTCCCTTTTTTTAATTATCTTCATTGCACCTCATTTAACTTTCGGATTTATTTCGGCAACTTTCGTGTATCGTTTAATGTTTTTCATTGCTTTATTTTTAAATTTTAAAGAAAAAAATGTTAGTTAAAAAGTAAATTTTATAAAATTAATTGAAAATTGTTTCATTTCTTAAAATAAAATTGAGGAGAATTTGTAAGAAATCTGTTGAAGTTTTGTCCTTAAATTAGGGAATTCGACATGAATTTTCGGGGAATTTGACAGATTGGTGTTGGCAACGCTGCCATATTGCACCAAAATTGACTTACTAAGATTTGTTTGCCGGCGTAAGAACTAGAGGCGGCAATCACTATAAAACTTGCCAGTAATTTTAAATAATATTGATATATCTCTTTTTAAATTCAAAGTATTGGTTGGATTAAATACGGAAAGTCAATTAAAATAAAGTAAAAGTATTATTTTTACATTAATTCTGATTGATTAATTAACTGTCGATCATAATTGCAATTGATTTTAACTTTTAAATTTAATATTCATGTGGCGGCGTTAATTTCTGAACGCACCACTTCAATTAAAGACTGTAATGTAGATCTGGCAACATTGAGAGAAATAATTATTATGACGCAAAATCTGTAGACATATACGAGGTCTCTCAGTATTTTCCACTCAATTCTTTGTTTTAGTTTAATATTCTTTTAAGATTGTAACGTGTGAAATGTTTATATAACTGAGTGATAATAAACCATTATTATTTTACGCATAGTCTTATTGGAGTGAAGATTAAAAGTACTAGGTAGTACCCACACTACTACATTGGTGACCGGCTCTTGAACTGAGTGCATCGCAACCGTAAAGGAGTACATTAACGGTGTTAACGTAATTTTTGGAACGAGCTTCAGTGAACATCTTCAGTAAGCAGTGTAGTATCACATAACAACACAAGATTACAATTTAATAATTTGTTGTCATCGCCATTACAAGCCGCAGAATTGCGTCGATCCGATTGGCTTATCGTGGGCTTATCGTCGAAGCGGGAAATTCAAATCTGGACTTCACTTCGACATACATTGCTGCGTGTCATCGGGGTTTCGACGTACATTGCTGCTCCTGCGTAATAAGTATACATTGCGGCATGTTGAAAAAACATGTAGACGTACATTGCTGTTTTTGGTAATTCATTGCGTTTTTGTTTTTTTTTATATACAAAAAATAATCTTCGTGTCGATCTTATCATTCATTCTAAATATTTCACGTTAATTTTAATCTTAAATAAGATAATATATTACACGTATAAATATATAAATAATTAAAATTAATTAAGTTCTTACAAAAATTGTTTTTGGCAGATAATTTTTTTTTTCTGTGTGTTATGTGTAATTTTACATAATTATTGCCATTGCACTGGGTTGACTGATTTTTTTTTGTAATAGTGTTCAGGTCTCTGTTTTACACATATCAACTGTATTCTATTTTTTTTTTTTGTATTGCCATTTTGTGATTTTTATATTTAGATTAAGGGTGTCTATTGTTCTATTCCTATTGTTAATGTATGTATTTTATTTTCTTTGATACAGAAACTTTTGTAATGATATATTAAAAAAACAAAAGAATCATTATGAAAGAAATGAATTGAAAGCTGCTGGAAAGGATAATAAAAAAAAAATTTGGAATGTTGTTAAAAATATAAATAACTTAAATAAACCAAAAGAGCTACCAGCTGAACTTCTCAAGATTGAAAATAACCCGCTTAGTTCCGTCAACTTTATAAACACTTTTTTTGCAAATATAGGCTCTAACTTGTCAAATAAACTTAAAATAGATCTTCCGCCTCTTCCTACCACTGTAAATCCTGTAACAGTCAAAAGTAAGTCTTTTGTCCTACTTAAAACAAGTGTAGAAGAACTCGAACGTCTCATTCTTAATCTCAAGACTGATTGTGGTGCTAGCTGGGATGGTATTACGCCAAAAATTTTAAAATGTCTTAAAGAACTTATAATCCCCCCACTTAATCATAGCTTTAATAGGTGTCTAGAAGAAGGTATTTTTCCAACAGTTTTGAAAAGGTCCATCACAATACCAGTTTTTAAAAACGGAAAGCGTGACATCATCACTAACTATCGTCCAATATCGTTACTCCCGTCTATGTCTAAGCTCCTTGAAAGAATAATAAACACTAGATTTATAAAATATTTAGAAGATAATAAAATTCTCTCAAATGGTCAATTCGGTTTTCGAAGAAGTAAATCAACTACGGACGCTATACATATTTTTACAGAATTTATTGTGCAAAAATTAGATTCCAATAAAAAATGTATCACAATCTTTATTGATCTGCAAAAAGCTTTTGACACTATTTCATCTTCTAAACTGATCGAGAAACTTGAAAAAATGGGTATTAGAAATGTACAATTACAACTTTTTAGAGATTACCTACAAAATCGCTCACAACGAGTTAGGATAGGAGAGATTTTTAGTGATGAAAGACCAATCAATTACGGAGTACCACAAGGAAGTATTCTCGGTCCAACTCTCTTCCTTTGCTACATAAACGATCTTTGTCAATTAAACATCCCAAATTGTAAAATAATCTCAAATGCTGACGACACAACCCTCTCGTTCTACGGTGACTCTTGGGAAGAAGTTTTCAAAATTGCACAGGATGGTTTCAATATAGTGTGTCACTGGCTTGCTCTAAATAGTCTCACTTTAAATACCGATAAAACCAAATATGTAATGTTTTCCATCCGAAATTCAACCTGTATTACAAATAAATTTAAAATCATAGCACATTCATGTAATATGACCTCTATTTCAAATTGTAAATGTCCTGATATTGAAAATACAAATAACATAAAGTACCTCGGCATAATAATAGACAAGAATCTAACTTTCAAAGAACATATAAACTATTTAGTTCAAAAAATTAGAAAGCTTATCTACATATTTAAAAACTTAAGACATATCGCAAATTGGAATTTAATTAAAACTGTATATGAATCGTTAGGTAAATCTATCCTGTCCTATGGCATTTCTGTATGGGGAGGCTCTAGTAAAACATTAATGATGGAAGTTGAAAAGGCACAAAGGATGATATTAAAAATTGCCTTGAAAAAACCTAGGACATATCCGACTACGAACTTATACGCAGAAGCCAATGTGTTAACGGTTCGAAAAATTTACATATTATCAATAATCTTAAAAAAACATAGTTGTATTGATTTGTTGGATAATATAAGGAACTCTGGTACGAGGAGAGATTATGAGGTCTGTGAAATTATTCCGGTAAAAACATTTTTTGCTCAAAAGTTTTTCAGTTTTAGAGGTAGTCGATTATATAACAAAGCAAACAAATTACACCGTATCATTAACGTAACTAAATTTGAATGTAAAAAGAAAATTTCAAATTGGCTGCTTAAACTTGATTACGAAAAAACAGAACAATTACTGCAGATTGCATCTTAACATACCACGTACGAGTTAACACACACATACACACATACACACACTCACACATACACACACACACACACACACACACACACACACACACACACACACACACACACACACACACACACACACAAACACACAAACAATAAGATTAACTGCTTGCGCGTATGCTCTCTCGCAAACGGAAAAAAGTCTCTGCTATATACGTATAATAAAAAAAAAAAGAAACATCTAGTTGATCATTCTAAATGGGGAGCCGGGAGATCCATAGCACAGGGTATCCTAGTGTGGACTCCCGTCTCCCACAAATTTATGTACCTCTTTGTTTTTTTTTTTTTTTTATAAAAAATATATATGTTTTTAAAAGATAAAATATGCAATTGTACAATTTGTGGGAGAAAATAATAAAGGTTTATTTTTATTTTATTTTTATGTAGTCATAAAAACTGAACATCACTCTTCCACACAGTTAGCTCCATTAATTTCTTTAAGCAACATTAACTCACTACACAATTATCAGACATTACCATGACAGATAAGGCTGAACCTTCACCGACTGCCGATCCTAATATTGCTCAACAGATGTTTTTTTTTTTAAGACAGAGCTAGAGAGACTCGCTACAGTACTACATTCCACGCAACAGGAGAATGCTCTTCTTCGTGCACAAATCGAAGGTAAGCCTCTAAAAACAGAGGATACTCCCATAAACGAACTTTCCCCTCAAGTTTGTAAAGTAGCGCCAAAGGTACCTCCCTTTTGGCATCAGAAACCTGCCTTGTGGTTCGCACACATTGAAACCCAATTTCGTGTAGCGGGAATCACAGGGGACCAGACCATGTACGACCATGTCATTGGTCAACTGGATTTTAGGATTACAGCTGAGATTGAGGACATCGTTACAAATCCACCTAGGACTAACAAGTATGAACACCTAAAAACGGAAATCATACGTCGTTTATCACAATCTGAAGAAGAACGTGTTCGACAGCTTCTGAACGATGAGGAATTGGGCGATCGTAAGCCATCCCAATTCTTAAGACACTTACGTTCTCTAGCTGGGAGCACACTCACGGATGAGAGCATTTTGCGTCAACTTTTCATGCGCCGCCTGCCACAACATCTTCAGGCAATCCTTGCTGCAAGTGCTGACCCACTTGATGATATTGCAATTCGAGCGGACAAAATTCTCGAAGTAGCTCCTAGCCTTGCATCATCTTCGAGCCCGTTTGTACATGCAACTTCTGCATCTTCTTCAGGTCCTACATTTGACCTATGTGCTCTTGATGCTCAGGTACAACAGCTGTCTGCAACAGTTGCAGCGCTTACTCGAACTCGAGAAAATCATCGTAGTCGAAGTAGAAGCAAGTCTAGGAACCGCACACGATCTGATGGTAAGTTATGCTGGTACCATTGGACGTTTAAAGAAAAGGCAAGCAAGTGCGTTAGTCCTTGTTCATGGCAAGCGGAAAACTGTCAAGCCAGTCAGTAGCGACGGCAACTGATTGTGCTAAACCAGGCCGTCGCTTGTTTTTAACGCACAAAACCAGCAAGGTCAGGTTTTTAATATAGACACAGGATCTGACCTATGCTGCTATACTCGTAGGTTGCTGGGTGGTCGAGCGTCTCCTACCAAGTATCAACTCAGTGCAGCCAACGGCAGCACCATTAAGACATATGGTAGCGTATCGCTAAAACTTATCTTTGGATTGCGGCGAGATTTCCACTGGCAATTCGTAGTGGCGGACGTCAGCACTCCCATTATAGGTTCGGATTTTCTTGCGCATTACCATCTACTGCCCGACTGCCGCAATAAAAACGTTCTGGGGGAATAACCGGCCTTTCTGTTTCTGCATCCCTTGCCACTACGGAACAGGTTAGCGTAAAAACAATTACAGTCGATGCGGAATCATGGTTCAATAAGATTCTCGCCGAATTTCCATGTATAACACGGCCTCCAGGACTTCACAGAGACATTAAACATCCAACGGTACATTACATTAAAACGACAGATGGCCCACCAGTGTCATGTCGGCCACGTCGCCTCGCACCGCATAAGCTGGTGGTTGCTAAACGTGAGTTCGATGAGATGCTGGGTAACGGCACCGCAAGACCATCCAAAAGTCCGTGGACTTCTCCACTGCAATTGGTGCCCAAGAAGGATCTGGTTTCTTGGCGACCATGCGGTGATTATCGTTGCTTAAATGCGCGAACCATCCCAGACCGCTATCGGTTGCGTCATATCGGGGATTTTAGTAATAACATCGCTGGATCTACTGTCTTCAGTACGCTTGATCTGATAAGAGCTTACCAACAGATACCAGTCAACGACGAAGACGTATGTAAAACGGCGATCACGACTCCTTTTGGATTATTTGAATTCCCGTATATGACCTTCGGATTGCGCAATGCTGGACAAACGTTCCAACGCTTTATGGATGAGGTTTTACGTGATTTGGATTTTTGTTTTCCGTATATCGATGATATACTCATATTTTCCCGCAATGAAGAAGAACACGCTTGTCATCTTCGCATTCTCTTTCAGAGGCTAGCCGATTACGGCATTGTCGTAAATCCTGCTAAGTGCGTACTGGGAGTAGACAGTGTCATCTTTTTAGGATACCGCGTTTCTAAAGACGGTATAAGTTCTCCGCCTGAACGGATAGCCGCATTACAGGAGTACCCTCTCCCTAAGACAGTGCAGGGTCTTCGTAGGTTCCTGGGTATGATCAATTATTACAGACGATGTTTACCACGTGCGGCTGAGTTGCAAGCGCCGTTGATAAACATGTTGACTGATACAAAACTCAAGGGAGCAAAACCGGTACCTTGGACGCCAGAGTTGGAGTGTACCTTTAATGCTTGTAAGGAAAGTTTGGGACAAGCAACTCTACTCGCATATCCACAGCCTGATGCCTCCTTAGGTCTGTTCACAGACGCATCAAGTGTCCAGGTAGGTGCTTGTCTGCAGCAACGTGTAGGTAATGAATGGCAACCCCTTGCTTTTTTTAGTAAAAAGCTAACTGCTCGTCAATCAACCTGGCCTGCATATTATAGAGAACTTTTAGCCATATACGAATCCGTGCAACACTTCAGACATATTTTGGAAGTGCAACAGTGTACCATTTTTACAGATCACAAGCCTCTTCTTTACGCTTTTACTCAGCGTCGGGAGAAACTACCTCCGGTACAGTTAAATCAACTTACCTTCATTTCGCAGTTCACGACTGATATTTCACATATTAAAGGTGTGGATAACATTGTGGCTGACACTATGTCGCGAATTGAGGCAATTTCGCTGGAGGATGACTTCGCCGACCTAGCTTTGTCGCAAAGAGACGATGAGGAACTACAAAAACTTATTAGTGACGGCACTTCTCTTAAACTAGAGAAGGTTTTGTTGCCTGGGACTGATGTCACAATATTTTGTGACACTTCCACGGGTCAGCCACGTCCTTTCCTTACCACTCCTTTCCGTCGGAAATACTTTGATAAACTCCACAATTTGAGTCATCCAGGTCTCCGTGCAAAATCTCGTCTTCTCACAAAAAGGTTTGTTTGGCCTTCTATCCAGAAGGATTTTTGCGATTGGACTAAGACGTGTTTCTCATGCCAGCGTAATAAGGTCACCAGGCACGTTGTCTCTCCTTTAGCTAATTTCGCTGCACCTGCTGGCCGCTTCAGGCACGTTCATGTTGATATTGTAGGTCCTCTTCCCGTCTGCGAAGGCTATCGCTATCTTTTGACGGCTGTAGATCGATTCACACGATGGCCTGAAGCGTGGCCAATGCGCGGTATTACCGCCGAGGAGACGGCTGACACCTTGATGACTGGCTGGATATCGAGATTTGGTGTTCCTTCTCGTATCACTACAGATCAGGGTCGCCAGTTTGAGTCCGACTTATTTCCCAAACTTATGACACTTTTAGGCACCAAAAAGCTACGAACGACTAGTTATCATCCGTGTGCGAATGGTATGGTCGAACGCCTGCATAGGCAGCTTAAGGCTTCCCTGATGTGTCGCAACGAGCCCTGGATCAAAGCATTACCTGCTGTACTTCTTGGCATGCGTGCTGTGTTAAAAGAGGATCTCAAGGCTTCAGCAGCCGAACTTGTATACGGAGAGCCCTTACATCTTCCTGGAGAGATGATCGTTCTTTCGTCAGTTTCACAAGTATGTGATCCATTTGATTTTGTCTCACGGCTTAGAATTATGATGTCAGACTTGAGACCTGTACCTGCATCTCAACATTGTAAAAGAAAAGTTTTCCTGTTTAAAGACCTTTCCACCACTTCACACGTGTTCTTGAGAGCAGACCACGTGAAGCCGCCATTGGAATCACCTTACTCAGGACCATTTCAGGTTGTCAGACGATCAGATAAGACTGTCACTATCGTCGTGGGAAACAAGGAAGTCGTCGTGAGTATTGATCGCGTTAAACCCGCATTTATCCTCGCACACACTCCACAATTTACACAATCTCAAAATCCTGATACATTTTTACCCTCTTCAGTTACGAATCAGTTACCTTCATACACACAAAATCCTCTCACTCAAAATACAAGTAATTCTGGCCATGACTCTTTAGCCCCATCACCCAAATACACTACACGCTCAGGTAGACGGGTTCAATTCGCTCGTCCTTTCGATCTTTGATCGATTACCTCTCTCCGTGGGGGGGTGATGTGGCGGCGTTAATTTCTGAACGCACCACTTCAATTAAACACTGTAATGTAGATCTGGCAACATTGAGAGAAATAATTATTATGACGCAAAATCTGTAGACATATACGAGGTCTCTCAGTGTTTTCCACTCAATTCTTTGTTTTAGTTTAATATTCTTTTAAGATTGTAACGTGTGAAATGTTTAGTATAACTGAGTGATAATAAACCATTATTATTTTACGCATAGTCTTATTGGAGTGAAGATTAAAAGTACTAGGTAGTACCCATACTACTACATTCAGTACCATTTCATTTCTATTTTCCTACACAAAATCAAAGATAACGATGAAATAATGTTTATAATTGTGTGAGTACTGAGTACCCAATTAGGTATATACGTTTATTAATTTCAATATAGTCTTTGTAGTAAAAAAAACTGCTTATTGCGTCAGGGTACAATCGATTGTGTAATTGTATTAAAAATAACAACCATAACTTATAAATTCCATATGAAGACTAGTAGGGATAACTAAACTTGTAAATAAAATAATCGTTGCAATGTCGTAACGGTTTAACGGTCTGTGGAAATGATCAGTGCTTCAAGGACGTTAAACGCACGAGGCATTTGTTTTATTTATGTTTATTCATTTTAGTTTTTGAGACATTTCCGTGTTGACTATCACGTGCACGTGGGCGACAGTTCAATCGTTTGCTTTATTAATTTCTTGTTGTTATTACTTGTTGTTAGGTTTTCTATTTTTCGTTTTGTTTTAATGAAGTTTATAGTGCTCGTGAATACGGCAGCATGTTTTAAAGTGTTTTGGGGAATCTCGTAAGGCCACGGAGGATTTAGATGGGTAAGTTGTTTCATAACTATTTTTTTAATAACTTAGTACTGAACTCCTTTGAATAGGTACATAACTGAATACATCAGAATAATAAACATACCTACACGATGGATAAAACAGCATGACTCTTACCTTGTTAACGTTTCATTTAAGTAATTATTTCATTAGCGGTGAATCGAACCAGGTATTTGGTTTATTTAACCTGTGAATTCGAACTAAAGTAGCTAAGTGGAGACAAGCACAGTGGCAAAATAATAGGTTAAGTAGATAAATTAGGTATTTAGACAAGTGTCGTAAATTGTTAGGTATTGTGGTACCATCGCTAGCTGCGTGCCGCGCGAATTCGGCGTCCATGCGTACATTAACCGCTAGTCAACTAAATGTAATTCCACTGCTGGTTTTATGTTTATTATTTTTATGTTTATTATAGGAATTTCTTTGTGACCCATCATCAAAGGTATCGTTGATACTATCGTCTGTCTTCGTTTTCGGGAGCGTTTCACTAATACCCAGTATGATATTGCTTTTGAGGGGTTGTACCAATACACGCACATTGTCCTTTTATTGGTAGAAGTTAGTTGAGATTGCAGCAAGCTCTTGTAATAATGTTTAAATATTAGCTAAATAAAGCTTATTGGATCATTATCATTATCTCAACTCATGGTTGGCCTACTACTGAGCATGGGTCAGCTCTCAGAATAAGGGTTATCTAATATATAAAAATTAATGTTTGTTCGTTCGTATTTTATGAGCTGCCATACCGTTCATCCAATTGTGCTGAAATTTTGTCAACATATTGCTTGCCCTTGTGCGAACGTTATAGACATAGTACAATTAATTTACTGTAGATGGTGCGTGTATCGTACCGGCAAATTGATATAAAGTTATATGATATCATTCAAATTCAATGAACATATTATCATTCTTAATTAAACAATATAAACTCTTCCTAGTATAAAACAATATTATTCCACAATTATTTCTTCTGTGGCAGCGATTAGCAATTGGAACACCATGGGATTTTCGTCGGTGTGAGTTCAACATAACTCATCCTTGCCCCCGCCGGGCGGGTGTGCGTAGGCATTGCAGAATTTAAAAAAAAGCTATTACTGCTTGAATATATGTTACAAATGTAGATGCTAAAAATAACTACCATGCTGAGTTGTATTTACAGTAGCGTACATCGAATAGTGGCTAAGAATTATACATTTCAGACTCGCGTTGGTGGTGGCTGACTTAGTAATTCCAGAGGTCAATGTAGAGATTTATAAAGGAGAATAATGCTATTAAATAGAAGTCAGTTTAATTAGTACCCAAAAAAATTATAAATATTGTAACATTTTTTTTTCTAATTTCAGTTAACACTCGAACACAAAAATGTTCCAAAGAATTGAGAACATTAAAAGCTCGAATTCCGAAAACTTAAATGTAAAACATTGAATGAAACAGTTCGTCAGGCAAAAAAAATTGTCATAGAGTCAGACATTTTAAAATGCTGTAGCAAACCTTCCTGAATCAGCTGCAATATTGGTAAACATGCAACTTAAAAACCATCAAAAATTCCAAGAGGAGATTCAGCATGAAAGAAAAAATTTTGTTTGAATACATACAAACAAAGTCAAAAAACACATAATTACTTCCAAATGATGTTTGGTTTGCCTTCTAAAAGAACCATGCAAAAAATGTTAAGCAGCATCTCTTTAACTACAGGCATAATCGAGACCATAATGAAACATTTAGCTAAAACTGTGAAAATGTTGCCTGATGAAAAAAATCTGTGCACATTAATTTTTGATAAGGTTGCATTGACTTCAGGACCTTATTATCAAAAATCCCTGGATGAAATTGGTGGTTTTGAAGATTTTGGGGAACATAGGACCTCAAAAATTGCTGATCATGCATTAGTATTTATGCTGAAAATCTTAAAGGAAAATTTAAACAACCGTTTTGCTTTACATTCTGCCAGAGCACAACAACCAGTGTAGAATTAAAGAAATTCAAAGAAGTAATAGCACAAGTCAACAGCACTGGCTTAAAAATTGTGTCTACAATCTGTGACCAATCCCCAACAAATATAAAGTTATAAAATGTTTTGTTCATGAAACAAAAGAAAAATACCTTCATAATGGCATTGAATGGAAAAGCTTGGCATTTGAAATTGATCACAGCAGAATCTTCCCAATTTTTGATCCTCCACATGTACTCAAGGGATTGAGAAACAACCTAATGACCAAAAATTTAAAATACACCTAAATGGAGAAACAAAGGTAGCACAATGGAATCATTTACGAATGTTTTTTGATATTGATGTAGGAGAGCATGGTATTCATTTGGTGAATAAGTTAACGGAGTTGCAGGTCACTAAAGACAAATTTCTAAAAATGGAAGTGAAATATGCAGCTCAAGTTTTCAGTTCAGTTCTACGGGTATCTGCAGCTTTACGCTTCTTAGCAAGTTGTATTTTTATTTATTTACTAAATGATGCCAGCGATTCCAACTGTGTGGATTTAAATTTTCAAAATTCAAAAAGAATTCTCAGACTTTCTGTCAAAAAAAAATTGTTTACAGAACTCAAGCTATCTTTTTACAAAATTTCGTCAAATTCATTCAATTAGATAGCCATGAAAAGATAACAGGCAGACAGAAAGACACATTTATAATATTAGTCATCATCTTCATTACAGTCCTTCACAAGTCCACTGGTGAGCGTAGGCATCCATCCCCCAAGGAGTGCCACAAATTACGGTCCTAAGCCACCTGCATCCATCGACTTCCTGTATGTCTCACTAGGTCCTCACTCCATCTAGTTAGAGACCTCTCTACACTTCCCCTACCGGTACAAGGCTGCCACTCGAGAACCCTTCTTCCCCATCGGTCGTCGGTTCTTCGAGCTATATGGCCGGCCCATTGTCACTACAGCTTCATATTATAATAGTAAATAGTAAAAATCTTTAAATTTTTAATAATTAATAATATTTTCTTTTTCAGATCATAATCTATTGCCAAAAGAGTGTCTCGCAACTGCTGATCTGTTGCTACTAGTTGATAAGTTATTTCACTCATTCAATGATCATAGTTACCAAGACAGGGCAAAAGTATACAAATCAGCATTGAGAAAAACTCGCTGCATTCTAAGCTCTGCGATGAAGCTTTACCTATACTAAACTCTATGGGTTATGAACTAAATAAAGATGGGACTACAAAATTTGTAAAGTTCCAGCAATTCAAAATTGGATACATAATAGCCATGAAAAAGGCATGTTTTCTTATTTAAACGCTAAACACAGTGTAAGCAGCCTGTTAACGAGAAATCTGAACCAGGATCCACTGGAAAATTTATTTTCCAGTATCAGGAGCAATGGGATCCGGAATGTATCGCCAACATACTGCCAATTTACTGGAACATATAAAACTTTGTTAGTGAATAATTTAACTTCCCTTCATTCGATTAGTGCAAACTGTGAAGGTTTTTTTTTTTAGGTGATGGGGCAAACGAGCATGCGGCTCACCTGATGGTAAGTGACTACCGCCGCCCATGAACAACTGCAACACCAGAGAGGGAATTGCAGATGCGTTACCGGCCTTAAACGTGACCATAACAAAATATTAAAACTTCTTAAATTTTTAATTAATTCCCAAAAAATAAAATATGATTATATTTTAGAAAGGGGCTATACAAAAAGTCATGTAAATATCCATCTGAGGTGTTGTTTTCATTCATAGATGAAGTTTATCTTATAATCCAAATGCAATTGATTGAATAACCACAAATGAAGAATATTAAAGATACGATAATTCAGAAAACGAAAATATTTTGCTACTTTTCATTCCTCTCCTGTGGAAATCATAATAAGAGGCTTTATGATTATTTACTAAGTTTAACAATAAATGTGGTTGTTCACAGTTGGTACACCAAAATTTAATAATTTTTAATTAATAATTGTGAAAATGATAATGTCAAAGCTCAAACTATTAAATATTATAACATTCATAAAAGAAAATAAATAAATAAAATTATATTTAGTCTTCGATATTAATATTTAAAAATATCTTATGTGAAATAGGCTAAGTTTTATTAGTGTTAATGGTATCTACAAAATTACTATTTTGGATAATTATTGGAGATGGACCAGATAGTTATCC